GTAAGGTTGATAAAACTGGGCTGATATGGTCGAACTTTCTGATTCTTGTAAGGACTCTGGCTGCAGCGTTCTGGACCAACTGAAGCTCGTTAAGGCTTTTGCTGGAACATCCAGCCTGCAGGGCATTACAGTAGTCTAGCCTTGAAGTAATAAATGCATGCACTAACTTTTCTGCATCCTGTAGAGAAAATGCATTTCTCAATTTAGCAATATTGCGGAGATGCAGGAAGGCTGTTCTAGTAAAATTAGTTATATGTGGAAAGATCAAGGAGGACTAACAAGGACACATGATCTTGGTCAGAAAATAATAATAGATCATTTACAATTTTTACTAGTGCTGTTTCTGTACTATGATGTGGCCTAAAACCAGATTGAAATTTTTCGTGTATTTGATTCCTATGCAAATAGGAGCTTAATTGTTTTGGATGTCTTCATTTCTCCTCCTCTGCTTCATTCTCTCTTTCCCTCACACAGGCTGTTCAGTCCGGTTCTCCTGATGACCCGTACGCAGCTCTGGACCCTCAGTCCAGTTCTTCTGATGACCCGTACGCAGCTCTGGACCCTCAGTCCAGTTCTCCTGATGACCCATACACAGCTCTGGACCCTCAGTCCAGTTCTCCTGATGACCCGTACACAGCTCTGGACCCTCAGTCCAGTTCTCCTGGGTCCGACACTCTAGCAGTGAGTTCTACACATTAAACTGTGATACTCAGTAACAGAGAAGGTGATCAACTCCATATACAGTGGATTCACTTTAGATCCCTTCATCATGATCCAGTGTGAGTGAACATGGTGGATTAGGACTAAGATTAAGGATGTTGTATTGAACTGTGTTTGTGGATGTTTGTTCTGAGGTTGTCTGTTTCTTTGTTGTTCATGTTTCTCTATGATATCTGTGAGCTCAGTGTTTCTGGAGCTCTGATTATTTGGAGATTAATTGGAATTTCTGTCATTTCTTTATTTAGAAAATGATCTCTTTATTTTATCTAAATTCCTAAGATGTAAAACTAATGAAGTTCTTTTTTTCCTCTGTATTTACTCATAGCTCCATGTAGAGACTGTAAAACTCTACAGAGAATTTCATTTTATTTTCATATAGTACTTTTTTTTTTTGCTTATAATGCCAAATTGTTATAATAAAGCCTGCTATTTTACTTAATTTCTGTAAATCCAAATATCTGCTAAAATGATTGAAAAGCTTTCCTTTCTTTTATAAATATAATCATATCTGTATGATTTAGTGCAGAGCATCTTTTCTCTATGAAGAGTATGAAATGCTAAGAGCTGAAATCATTCTGATATAAATGTTGTGTATCAGCTCTTATACTCAGTATGTTAAGATCAGTGTGAGGCTGTTAGTGATCTGCATTGTGTTCTCTCACCACATTCACATGCTGGGGGAGCTCAGCTCTGCTTCTCTGTATGTTTATAATTATACATTTCTGTTTAATAAAGTATATTAAAATATGCAGCCATGTAAAATGGTTTTATACATATTAAGCTCATTTTCTGCAGATGGATTTATTGTTCTATTAGGATCCTCATTAGTTTTTGCATTTACGTGACTTCTTCCCCACAGAGCCCATTAAAACATAGTCTTTTTTATAAGCAGATGCTACAATTTATATATAAATGTCACATGTTTTCTGTAAGTGTTTTTAAGTGTTTTACTTGAATTCTTCAGTTTTTTTACATCTCTATGTTCTCTTAACTCTAATAAAAATGTATAACTGCATGTGAACCTTAAAACAATTCAAGTCCCTAATTTTACACAGCGGATAAAACAGCACCCTCTTCATGTTAACTCACAAACTGCAGACAGACTGTCGAGAGAACAGTGATGACATCAAACCCTACTGTCTCTTAAAGTGACAGTACAGACACTAAACATACTCCTGAAAGGAGAAACTGCTAGAAACTGGTGAGCAGAATTATTCAGTAGTCCCTGCACTGCTGCACCAGGCATTTTTCTCCAATGCACACGGCATCATCTGTTCAGTCTGCTTGGAATGCTATTAGTCTTTCTAGCAGAATCGCAGAGTCTGGAATGCTGCAGTGGAGCGAGGTCTCCAAAAAACATGAAAATTCAGTTTGTTTTCCGGGGAAAAAACATTTGTCCGTAGTAAAGTGCAAAGTGGAATTCAAGGTTTTGAAACAAATGCTATTTTCTGTAAGCACCTTTATGGGATTTCTAATGTTACATTAACACTAGGCTAGCAGTTGTGTGCAGTGTGCTGTGTGCAGTCCATTTCCCAACTTTCACTCACTGGGTTGTTCAGACCTTAAAGTAGGACCATTCAGGACTGTTTGATAAAATCTCTCTCAGTTTGATAAGCAATATCAGTGAAAGTAAAGAGATGTTAAGAGAAGTTCTGGTGAAATTAATGTAGACAGTCACATGTTATTCATTTGCCAAACTTTAGATGTGCATATTGTGTGCCCACAAGATAACATTCACAGATTTAGAGAGCACTTGTGTCTTAAGGTTGCCTGAGGCTTTAATTCACCACTTACAAGTTTGGATTCACACTATTTTGAGGTTTGTTTTATAATAATGTTTGTTCATAAAGGAATATATATATATATATATATATATATATATATATATATATATATATATATATATATATATATATATATATGTATATATATATATATAAAGAGTTCATTTATTCTCATGTGCTGCTTTTCTATGATGTCTTAATAATACAAGAAAACACTAAACATGTTTTGCTAAGCAAATCTGAAGAAATTCAATGTTGACAAATGCTTTCCTTATATTGCAACCTTCACTTTACTTTAAAGAGTCAGTTTATCTCAATGCTCAGTTAAGGGTTGAGCAAAATATTATGATGTATAAAACACAAATAAAATTGCTCTGGAAATGCATACATCTTTAATTACTGCTTAACAATAAGTAGCCAGTTAATTACCCAGTTATTAGCTTGACAAATTCGTTTACATCTATTTTCTTGACGAGGTTTGATGAGATCATAACAATAGAAATTTAGAATGATGTGGACAGGATTATGATGGATTAAACACACATAAATGTGCAGTAGAAAATGTTTATTTTATTCTAGCTATAGTTTAATATCAGCAGAGCTGAACTCAGCACAGTGACCAGTTTAACATTGTTAGAAAAAACGTTTAGATTTTCAGTGAAATTTCAGTGAAAGCAGAACTTTGTTTTAGGTGCAGCTGCTGTCTGTAGTGAAGAGGATTAAAGCTTTACCATTTAATATTCATTTCTCACTTTTTGTAAACATTGTTTCATTAGATGGATTAGATATATTCTCATCTTAATTTGTTGAAATGCTGTGCTATTTAGAAATCTTTTTCTTGTGCTTTATTGACAACAGTTCTTTATGAAACATTGAAACCAATGGGTTACTAATTTGTGTAGTGAACAACAAAATGATCCCAACAGAGCTCTGAGTGTTGAGTGTAGTGATGAGCTTCATATGATATTTTTAAATATCAAATTTAAAATGTCAGAAAGTGTAAAAATAATGCTGAAGCTCATTGATCCTCTACAGAAGACTGTATCAGATGTTGAACAGTGGAACTGAACTCTGCAGGTTCTGCAGTGCTCTGGGTGAAGGTGCTGACTGCTGCATTAGTATTAGAGAGAGTGGAGAGTTAGAGTTCATTACCTGAGGGATCAGTGTTCTGAACACACAGCAACTTCTGAGCAATGACACAATCAACAATGAGGTTCATTAATTAGAACATGTACAGTTTTACATCCACCATGACCTGGATGGTAGATGTGTGAAGCAATGAAGATTTCTATGGATTTCTTCTTTACTTTTCTGTCACTACAAATCTCCACCTCTAGAGGACAGAAAGAAATTGAATATGAATTAAACACTACAAAAAATTGTTGATCTGTGTTCTGTTTTAGTAAATATCATTATTGATTTGTGTCAGCACTGGGCACAATATCAGAGAATGTTCCAGGATTTGTTAAAGGATGGCAGGAAGGCGGACCCAAGTGCAAAGATGAAAACCATGAGAAAGGGTGTTAAATAAATTTATTGAGGCAACGGAGTGTGAATTTGGCACGTTTGGTTTGAAGTGACCCAGAGCCAGGCTCAAACCACCAATGTACAGATCGGCAGCCCGTTGAGTTACCGCTATGCCACTGGGGAGCACAGGAAGCAATGGGTAAAAAAAAGCTAAAGGAACAGGAAATAAAAAGGTGGGAAAAACGGCAAACAAAGGAGACGCTGAAAACAGCTCAAACAAATGCTGAACTAGAAACTTGAAATAAAAGATAATGAGAAAACAAAAGACAATTCCGCTGTAATTATGAAGGGAAGACTTTCATTTGTTTCCTCTCAGTGGAGCAAACACCTTTTGTATGTCTTGGAACCGTTTGTAGCTCAAGCCTTCTTGTATTTATTTTATATATTTTTTTTTGAGTAGTTTCGGGGCAATTACTCTCTTTTTGTTTTTTTGATCACTCTTTTCTTTGCTTTTTTTGTTTACATACCCATCTGGGCTAAGTAGCATACCGGTCACCCCTCTACAAAGGTGTGAAAAAGGGCTGTTGTTTGCCACAGGCTTAAGTAGAGGAGTCCACAGGTGTGTCAGGTTGGGCCTAATCAGCCCGAGAGATTCTGGGAATTGGAGTTCCCTTAAGTTATGGCAGCTCGCCGCCGTCGCCCTCTGCTGGGAGCCGGTGGAGCAGGCTGGACACCTTGCCGTCATCGCCCTCTGCTGGTGGCTGGCAGTTCAGGCTGGGCACCTTGCAGCTGTCACCCTCTGCTGGCGGGTGGGGGTGCATGCTGGATCCCTACAGGATTAAATTTCATCTAAACTGCTAAATATCTTGGAAAAGAGTGACCTGGCACAACTTCACTGTCCAACAAGGAACTTGTTAAAAGCAAAAAATATAGAAAAGAGTGAAACCAGCAACACTTGATGACTGAAGATATTCCACACTTTATTTAAAACCAATGAATTTCAGCACAAAGGCCTTCATCAGGGTTGAAGAGAATAATGAGTGCATTGTTGTTTACATACATAAAGAACAGGAAGTACAATTTAAAAACAACAATACAATGGCTGAAACACCCTTCCTCCAATCAGGGCAAATGAAGTTACAGAGTCAACCAATAGGCAGGTTACACATCTGTAATGAACAACTTTCAACTCTTAACTAACTCCAACACTCAAGGAAAACTTTTAAGACTAACATCAATGTCTTTACAGAAATCTGAGAAAATTATACAAACTACAACTTTAAATTATCACATTCAGATTCATCAGTGCTTCAGTATAAGGTCTGAGTGGTTTTGAGGTTTAGACTTCGATAGACTGAATTTAATTGTTTAGCCTTTGGGTTTATGCTCTGGTTGACTGAACCTGATTGGTTGGGTTTGGGGTTTAGGCTCTGGTAGACTGAATCTGATTGGTTAGTGTTGGGTTCAAGCTCTGTTATATTGTATCTGATTGGTTGGTCTTGGGGTTTAGGCTTTGGTAGACTAAGTCTGATTGGTTGATGTTGTGGTTTAGGCTCTGGTAGGCTGATTCTAATTGGTTGGTTTTGGGGTTGAGGCTCTGGTAGACTGATTCTGATTGGTTGGTGTTGGGGTTTAGGCTCTGGTAGACTGAATCTGATTGGTTGGTCTTGGGGTTTAGGCTTTGGTAGACTAAGTCTGATTGGTTGGTGTTGTGGTTTAGGCTCTGGTAGGCTGATTCTGATCGGTTGGTGCTGGGATTTAGGCTCTGGTAGAGTGTTCTCATTGCCATAGAGTGTTGATTTCCAGGTGTATCGTTTTCACAATCAGGTACGTCCTATAAAAATAGCCGTAATGATAATAGAAGTACAATAGTTTCATATTTTCTAGGATACATTTTATATTTTCAATGTTCAGTGTTGACTTACCTTATCTCTTCTGGCATTTCTCTGAGTTGTAGCTGAGCTTTGAACATCTGGAGGGAAAACAAAAAAGCACAGTTATGTTGCTGATGTTGTCATTGTTGGTGGTGTTGTTCTGTTGATTTTTATGTGTGAGTAGTGGAGAGCCAAAGTTTTGTAGCATCGATGTAAAAAAAAGACATGAAAAACCATGTGTCTATGGGCAAATGCTCTTTTATTTTAAACAGGCACTTCAACAGACATCAAGAAATGCCCAGCCCAGTGTTACTGACTCACAGGGAAAACAGCGGGGACGGTCATCAACAGCCACTGATGATGAACACTAACACCACACTTATTAGCCCACAACAGAAAACAATAAATCACAATCAATATGTAAATACATTTCAATTAAATAAATAACAACAACAACCATAACAAGTGTTTCTTTTTATACCGGTAGTGAGGCGGCTCCTGAGAGCCAATTTGCATGGCCACACCCCCTAAGCTCCTCACGACAGTGTGGCCCATGTCAGACGCCACACAGCACCCCCCTCAAGGGTTAGCCCAAACAAAATCTCTCTAGCTCACACGCTACTCCTTCAGGGTCTACTCAGCACACTATCTACTTCTCCGCACATGGCTGAAGTGGTGCCAGAAGGCCATGGTCAACGCTACTAGGTTACTATTTTGCGTACAGAAAAATGCTCTTTTTTTATGAACAGACATTTCCACAGGCAGCAAGCACTACTAATGCCCAGCACTACTCACTCACAGGGAACATAGCGGGGAAGGTCACTAAGAGCCATAGAACACTGAAGGAACACTATAACCACACTAACTAGCCCGCAACAGAGCACAATAAAACACAACCAACACAAACACATTTAACTAATTAAACAACAAAAACAACCATGATAAGTACACCAGTAGTGTGATGGGGTGGCCTATGGATGACGCCATGATACACAATATTCACAATATTCTTTTTTGAGCATATCATGGATATAAACAATATTGAAAGAACATTGAACCCCTGCAGCTTTCATTACAAAGAGAGACAATGCATTTACTGTTGTACAGTATGTGAAATGGTGGACATTGTAATCAATATATAACAGTATTTCTTACAAGTGGCAGGTGAGAAACTTGCTAACGTACCTCTAGGCTTCCTCCTTTTACAGAGTAAGACTAAAACACCAAGAGCAATTCCTGAGATCAGCAGTGCAACACAGACATACAGAATGATGAAACCTGGAATCAGTGATTATACAGAATTTAAGCATTAGAGATCACAGGTATTTGGGATTTTGTGTTACTTCTGCATTCACATGATTTACTTCTGTCAGTAAATAAGGAAGTTTGGAAGAAACCCTGAATTGAAACGCATTCCCAGTCAACATGCCCATGTAGGTGCCAAATGGGTTAATAAATGCACTGATAATTGAGCTCTTTTTGGGCAACCCAGATTTATATATATGGGACCCTGTTTATGTTGGCCAATGTGGACAATAATGGGTCTAAAATAGGCTGCAGATGGGACCTTTTTGGGTAAGATGGGCTGTAAACCTGTGATTGCTCTGTTTGTATCAATAAAAAAAAAAAATGAAGTAAATTTGAACTTTAAAGAGCAATATGACATGATAAGATATCACATTCAATAAAGCAGGGTATCTGCAAGTATCAACACTTTTATATTTTAAGTTGAACCTTTCATGAACTTTAATTTGATGTCATATAAACATTTGATCATAGCACATATAATTATATAGCAGTGTTTAATACAGATACAACTTCATAAGCAGCCTTTGCTCCAGTAATGCTAATTTCCACTAATGGGAGCTGTAGTGTTATGTTAGCACTGTTTGCACCAAGCTAACAGTGGTTTACAGTCACTTATCCAGACTTTAATACTACTTAAGACAGTTCTAGCTTTAAATTTGGTGTTCACAGGTGATAAAACACATCTAAGTAACATGCAACACACACACACACACACACACACACACACACACACACACACACACAAAGACGCACACACAAATACACACACACACACACACACACATCACACAGACACACACACACACACACACACACACAAATACACACACACACACACACATCACACAGACACACAAACACACACACACACACACACACACACACACACACAAGTAGAAATCAATCTCAAAGTATGGGTAGAAAAAAGATGAGATTAGTAGAGGTTTATGGGATCTGAACCTACTTGTAGCTGGAGATACAGATGTACTGATGGAGAGTGATGGAGTGGAGTGGAAGAGAACACTGTCAGCAGAACTTCCTGTAGAACAGAAAACAGAGACACTCTAACCTTCAGTTATTTCATACATTAATCAGACTCTCCATCATTAATATCTCAACAAAGATAGAGTGATTTGGTGTGAAATGCTCTGTTTAAGAATAACTGACAGAGTCAGAACTGCTTACAGTGGTGGTGATAGGAACCAGATGTCTAAAGAGTTTAATGCTTCTAAATGTAATAAAAGTCATATGCAAAAGTTTTGGTACTCTGATCAAATAATGTGTTGTTGATTTTCTAAGTGAAAATCAGTTAAGACATCCTCTACACACATTTTAGCACACACTTTTTGAGTGATTTAACACATTGGAAAACATAAATAAAACAAAATGTACATAAAAATGGTGTAAAATTTCAGATTTACGGTGACACTTTATGTTGAGTGGTCCTTTTTAGATAAAATAAGAACTCAGCAGACTCTCAGTAACATCAACAACATATTTCATAATTCAGCTGTTTTTCACTTTGTTTGGAGTCCAAGTTTATATTTGTAGATGTTTAATCTGAGCGGAACTGAACAGGTAACAGCTTTACTACAGACCATCAACGTCTTCAACAAGCTGTTATAGACACACTGACACCATCCTGTACCTGGAGCTTCACTGGATTAAGGTTTGGTTATGGTTAGGGTTAGGATTAGGGCCAGTGTTAGGTTTTGAAATCTGAGTATGTAAGTTTCTCTATAATGATCCATTTCACATCCATGATGTAGTCATTTACACGATACGATACACGTTACTAATTTAACCTGTAATGAAGAATAGAACTGCATAGACCAGCACTAATTAATTAATGTGCCTAATGTTAAACATGGCATTGTTTGCAGTTTAAAATGTATACTCATTTATTTTAGTACATAATAAATAATAACTGATTAGTTTATTTATTTATTTATTTACTTTATAAATGTGTGAGAGCAGAACTCCAAGCTCATATCAGGTGCCTTGATTAAATCGTCCTTTTTAAAAAGATTATTATACTGAAACAATTAAGTGAGATGTAACGCAAACTGAGATTTTTCTATTAAGCTATTTTTTGAGGATGAGTAAATTTTGAGTTGTCATAGTGCAGACTTTATAATACATCAACAGGCATTACTGGTTTGATGGATGATCTGATGGATATGCAAATATAAAAACTCATACCTGTAGATGGAAAACTGGAGAGAGGTGTAGATTGTGTCTGCACTGATGTAGGAGAATATGTGGAGTCAGAGACAGCAGGAGGGGCATCTAAAGAAAAGAAATAGAGACAATATAAAATTAATTCAGCATATCTAACTGACCACACAGAAAATGTATCATATTTGTTTCTCTGTTTATTAAACATTGATATCAGTCTGAACTGTCTGTCACTCACCAGTTTAACCAGTAATAGCATCTCTGTGTAAAGATCAGCAAGTGGTTTAGTCCTCTGTATCCCACACCAGTATGTTCCGTCATCCTCTGTTCTCAGATCAGTGATGGTGATGGTGAAGACTCTGGCTGCTGTGTCATCATCTAGAGAGAATCTCTGATCTTCAGCAGATCCAGACTGAACAGGAATGTCTTTAGTTCCCCATACAGAACATTCTCCTCTGCAGAGATACTTTATGTTGGTTTCATATCCAGAATCATAGGAGCATTTAATCTGAACTGACTGTCCTCTGTGTCCAGCTACAGTAATTACAGCACTGATTCCAGCTGTAAAAGAGAACATGTTGTATGAGGGAGTAATAAACAAACTCTGAGGCTGAGACGTTACTCAGGACTGTTTAGTCTGAAAAGTCAGCTGTAGAACACGAGTGACTGAAACTCTACACAGAAACGTCTCACTAAGACAGTAACAGTGATAAATATGAGTGAGAGAAAGAGGAAATATTCTGTTCTTTATCAGTCACTGATCTAACACACTGTGTGTCTCTGAGTTTGTAAAGATCATCTTAAACTCAACACAGATGTGAGAGGAAAAACTCAGCAGGCGTCAGAATGAAGATGATGATCCAGATGATGGTCATGATTCGAAATATCTAACAGGTCAGTTTATACCTGACAAAGTGAGCAGTGTTCTTATACATGATGTTGAAGTTTATCATGGGAGCTTTAAGACTTCCTGAAGTGACAGAGGCCCAACTCTCTCTCTCTCTCTCTCTCCTCTCTCTCCTCTCTCTCATTTTCTCTCACTTGCAGTCCACCCCCTCTCTGGCCCGTCTTGGAAACCACAGAATTTAACAACATCTTGGTAACCAGTCACTTCCTCCTGAATGATTTTGTCATTGTGAGCAGAAAATGATCTGAGATCAGTTTTACTGTTTCTAATCTAACAGTTAAAGTCATTATGAATGTGTACAAAACTGATTCTGAATCAGGATATAAAGTCTTTTGCAGCAAAGCCTGACTGATAACACAGACACTCACAAACCTGCTGCTAGAAAAGAACACATTTGTGAACTCACTGATGCACAAAGATCAAACATCAAAGTGAATCTGGTAGAGATTAATCATATCTAATGGTGGGAATTTAATCTGCAGGGCAGGGAATAAGAAGAAAATATAAACATTAGCTCCTCCATCCTCAACTCTCATTCTGGCCTCTACTCCCCCAGCAAATCCTCCTCCTCCTTTTGAATGTTTATATGCAAGTCTTGCCAATTTGAGGTCCCAAATTAATTATCAGCTTTTCAGTGTGGTGGGATGTGAGGATTCGGTCGGTTGGTTGACTTTGTTTGTGTCACAGTTTAGTTTCAAGTTTATAGTATTTTTACTTTGTTTGAATATGTGTTCATGCATGTTTGTTTCCTGAACTGGGAGAGCTGCTCTAAAACTGACTCTCAGGGCAGATTATGTTCAGCAGTAATAAAGGCTGACTAGAGTACATTTAGCTAAAATCAGCATAAGCTGTCATAACATCTAACATTATGGCATCTGTCATGATAATTAAAAGAATTAACATAAAAATGTTTTATAATGTTATACTGAACAGAATCTGTCATGACAAATAATTGCAGCTTCTTCTATGACATGTTTATGGATGGTTATGTAAGGCTTATGTAGCTGGGTTCTAGTAGAGTGCTACCAGAGTGGACTACAAAACACTAAAAATGAGCCCTGTGTTAAGTAGCGCACTCGTGTTTATAAAGTCCTCATGTGATTCTTATCTTCACTATGATTGTCTGACAGATGTAAACAAACCCATCCACTCTGATTGATCCTCACCTGCATTCCCACAACTCCTTGAGATGAAGTCTAGGACCAGTCAGAGTGGATGGGTTTGTTTACAGCTGTCAGACCAACAAGGTGGAGAAGAAGATATTCAGATGTGAGTTAAAATACAGATATGATCTCTAGATATTTCACCAGTTACAGTACATGCACAGTCTGTAAATCACTTAAGTCCGTCCCAAGTACTTCTAAACCTGCTGAACTCGAGGTCTCTCACCCTACACGTCTGCATATTGCTGACCTCACTAAAGTGACACACACTATGGAAGAACAACATGATTAGAAAGATGGATAAAACAGCATGGAAAGGTTAATTCCACCTGACTGTTTCTATTCAGATATTATTTTTGGATATGTGCAAAAGAGTTTGTGGATTTCTCTCACAAAGCCTTTTCATAAAATCATATAGTATCTAATAAGGTTAAAATTCCAAAAAATGGGTAGAGAACTTCCATCTTTCATTCATACACACATTAATCTAAAAATAAAATACACTGTATGTTTAACTGCATATCAATTTTGTCTGTAAGATGGTGTAGTGGCTGTTTTCTTCTACACACTCTTATTCTGGTGTTTTGTAAATGAAGAAGCTCTAACACTGCACATGATTACAGCTCTGCTTAGTGAGCTCAGTATCTGTAGCCATGGTGATGGCAACTTCCTCTTTCCAGTGGTTTGTTGTTTATGAGGTTTAATTTCACTCATTCTGTAAATTCGTGAAACGGCCTTGTGAGAAAAATGCTGCAAACCTTTTGCACATAAACAAAAGTCATATTTGACTAAACAGTGAGTGGAGCTGACGTGTGTTTGATGCTGTTTCATCATGTTAAACATTTTGCACTTCTGTTGAATGTTGTAGTAAATCTACATGGATATTTGCTTCCTGTCAGATGATTTTATGATCTAATTTCACTTCTTTCTAATTATTCTGGAAAAGCAATCAATATGATGAACCCTCCACATAAACAGAATGGGTAGACTGAGAAAGAAGGGGGCAGGAGTAGGGGTGGGGATGTATCTCTCTCTCTCTGTGTCTGTCTCTATATGACACTCTGTAGGTTGATTAGAGAGTGTTAGAGCTCCCCCTACATGTCAAACCGTGATATTCTTCTGTTTTTACTTTTCATCAGTCTGGGTGAATGATTGAATGTTTCCTTCAAGTCTGATTAGCTGCTAAAAAACAGTTTAGTATATTATCAATCCAGAAAAACACAAAGCAGAGAAACAGAGACATGCTATTAATTCATCTTTTATCATTAAAATCTCACTGACCACACAGGACAATTTATCATATTTGTTTCTCTGTTTATTAACCACTGATATCAGTCCAAACTGTCTGTCACTCACCCAGTTTAACCAGTAATAGCATCTCTGTGTAAAGATCAGGAAGTGGTTTAGTCCTCTTTATCCCACACCAGTATGTTCCTTCATCCTCTGTTCTCAGATCAGTGATGGTGATGGTAAAGACTCTGGCTGCTGTGTCATCATCCAGAGAGAATCTCTGATCCTCAGCAGATCCAGACTGAACAGGAATGTGTTTAGTTCCCCAAGCAGAACATTCTCCTCTGCAGAGATACTTTATGAAGGTCTCATATCCAGAATCATAGGAGCATTTAATCTGAACTGACTGTCCTCTGTGTCCAGTTACAGTAGTTACAGCACTGATTCCAGCTGTAAAAGAGAACATGTTGTATGAGGGAGTAATAAACAAACTCTGAGGCTGAGACGTTACTCAGGACTGTTTAGTCTGAAAAGTCAGCCGTAGAACACGAGTGACTGAAACTCTACACAGAAACGTCTCACTAAGACAGTAACAGTGATAAATATGAGTGAGAGAAAGAGGAAATATTCTGTTCTTTATCAGTCACTGATCTAACACACTGTGTGTCTCTGAGTTTGTAAAGATCATCTTAAACTCAACACAGATGTGAGAGGAAAAACTCACCAGGCGTCAGAATGAAGATGATGATCCAGATGATGGTCATGATTCAAATATCTAACAGGCCAGTTTACAGACGACAAAGTGAGCTGTGTCTTTATACATGACGCTTAAGTTTATCATAAGAGCTTTAAGACTTCCTGAAGTGACAGAGGCCCAACCATCTCTCTCTCTCTCTCTCTCTCTCTCTCTCTCTCTCTCTCTCTCTCTCGCCACCCCCTCACCCTCTCTCTGGCCCGTCTTGGAAACCACAGAATTTAACCCCAACTTAGTAACCAGTCAGCCACTTCCTCCTGAATGATTTTGTCATTGTGAGCAGAAAATGATCTGAGATCAGTTTTACTGTTTCTAATCTAACAGTTAAAGTCATTATGAATGTGTACAAAACTGATTCTGAATCAGGATAAAAAGTCTTTTAAATTCATTTATTTTTTTTGCAGCAAAGCCTGACCGACAACACAGACATTCACAAACCTGCTGCTAGAAAAGAACACATTTGTGAACTCACTGATGCACAAAGATCAAACCTCAACGTGAATCTGGTAGAGATTAATCATATCTAATGGTGGGAATTTAATCTGCAGGGCAGGGAATAAGAAGAAAAAATAAACATTAGCTTCTCCGTCCTCAACTCTCATTCTGGCCTCTACTCCCCCAGCAAATCCTCCTCCTCCTCCATTTGAATGTTCACATGCAAGTCTTGCCAATTTGAGGTGCAAATTAATTATCAGCTTTTCAGTGTTGTTGGATGTGAAGACTCTGTGATGTTAAGCTATAGTTTAGTTCTTTGTTTGTATCACAGTTTAGTTTCAAGTTTATAGTATTTTTACTTTGTTTGAATGTGTTCATGCATGTTTGTTTCCTGAGCTGGGAGAGCTGCTCTGAGACCGACTCTCAGGGCAGATTATGTTCAGCAGTAATAAAGGCTGACTAGAGTACATTTAGCTAAAATCAGCATAAGCTGTCATAACATCAAACATTATGGCATCTGTCATGATAATTAAAAGAATTAACATAAAAATGTTTTATAATGTTATACTGAACAGAATCTGTCATGACAAATAATTGCAGCTTCTTCTATGACATGTTTATGGATGGTTATGTAAGGCTTATGTAGCTGGGTTCTAGTAGAGTGCTACCAGAGTGGACTACAAAACACTAAAAACGAGCCCTGTGTTAAGTAGCGCACTCGTGTTTATAAAGTCCTCATGTGATTCTTATCTCCACTATGATTGTCTGACAGATGTAAACAAACCCATCCACTCTGATTGATCCTCACCTGCATTCCCACAACTCCTTGAGATGAAGTCTAGGACCAGTCAGAGTGGATGGGTTTGTTTACAGCTGTCAGACCAACAAGGTGGAGAAGAAGATATTCAGATGTGAGTTAAAATACAGATATGATCTCTAGATATTTCACCAGTTACAGTACATGCACAGTCTGTAAATCACTTAAATCTGTCCCAAGTACTTCTAAACCTGCTGAACTCGAGGTCTCTCACCCTACACGTCTGCATATTGCTGACCTCACTAAAGTGACACACACTATGGACGAACAACATGATTAGAAAGATGGATAAAACAGCATGGAAAGGTTAGTTCCACCTGACTGTTTCTATTCAGATATTATTTTTGGATATGTGCAAAAGAGTTTGTGGATTTCTCTCACAAAGCCTTTTCATAAAATCATAGATAGTATCTAATAAAGTTTAAATTCCAAAAAATTGGTAGAGAACTTCCATCTTTCATCCATACACATTAATCTAAAAATAAAATACACTGTATGTTTAACTGCATATCAATTTTGTCTGTAAGATGCTGTAGATGCTGTTTTCTTCTACACACTCTTATTCTGGT